TGAAAAAAAGGATTTCGATATCTATTAAGTAAATTTCTTAATCCAAAACCTCACTCCGATATACGCTGGAATGAATGGTACATATCTGGAGCGTATTCGTACTGTGTATACATAAAAAAATACTGATTGAAATTAACAAAATAAAAATTTGTATTAAATAGACGCATGGCAACCCTGATGGGAAATATTTTCTGACCAAAGTTCGCCACAATACCTTTCATTTGATATCCATATTGCGATGTTTCAGATAAATTGTGTAGAATCAAAAATAAGTGGCAACCTTATATTATTATCCTAAGGGATAAAATTTTGTATTTAGGGAAAGCATTGTTTAAGAACCTTCTCTTGGTACCCATAAATAAAAAAGTAATATTTTACCTTTTTTTCTAAAAAAAATAAATGAATAAATATGCGATTAAAAATAGGTGACAACACTGTTAAAAATAATTTTTAATTACATATTTCTCTCTTTCCTCTCATCTCGCTCACTTCATTTTTTTTCTGTATATTGTTATTGTATTTGATACAGAATTTCGCTGCTTGCTACCACTTTGCAATGGGGTGCTCTCCTATTCTTCGAAATTTGGAATAGTATTTTTGCATTTCGTGCATTCCTTGCATCGTGCAAGACTTCGAGAATACCCCTATTTTATTTTAATTGGAATATACAACAGGTTTCGTTTCGTTTGATTAAATATTTTCGTATATTTTAACTTTGTTACAAATGTTAAACCTTATAGCTTACAGAGTTTCCTAAATAAAAATTGTTTAAAAATGGATATGTGTTATAAACGTTGACAATGCTGATGGAAAGTCAACTTATCAAAGCCAAGAACCCCGAATTGGAGAAAAAAGGCGGCCAAGTACATATTTAGCAAAATGTTTAAGTTCAAAACTTGTACTTTAAATATTTTAAAATAAATGTCAAAAGGCGTAACTAACGGAATTGTATTTACTTATATCTTTTTTAGAGGCTAATTAAAGTAAAAACCTCTGACTTGATCAATCTTTAATTTTGATGACGAGTTCCCAAAAACTCAGATACATACATACATATATATATGTACTTATGTATATATATGTATTTTTACGCATTTACTTATGTTGATGATTTAAATTAAGACAACCTTCAGCCCTATGGTGGCCGAATAGTTTTTCCATATGTCTCACATATTTGGTATCATTTACTATCAAACGCTAATTGAATATAAAAATGCCTCCATTCATTTGAGTGACATAATTTACATATTTCTGAGTACAATGGTATACATGTACGTATGTATGTATATATGTAAGTACTCGTAAAAACATATAAAATATATTTACATATATATGCACAAGAAAATGTTCATTCAGGGTCAAGAATACATATTCGTTGTACATAAATTTTCGTCGAGCAATGATTCCCAAGGCGGCAATGAAGCTTAAAAATATCAGCACGTCTAAAGAATTGGATTGAGAATATTAGACTGTAGAAACAAGCACATACTCGTTTTAATGCCCTCTCCACTCTAGTATACCAAAAGCGCGTACTTTTTGTTGCCATATTTAACAGCTTTTTTTTCATTTCCTAAATATATTCTCCTAAGTGGTATTTAGATAAGCAAGCTAGGGCACTAATATTTATGATTTATGAACACTTTAGGTACCGTAAATGGCATTAGTGAAGGTTATTAGGTACTTGCCGGTTCTATATGTAAATTGAAAAGAGGAAAGATATATAATGCGAGAAAGGCGATTAAAATCCATAGAATGCGCATAATATATGCGAGTACTTCAGATTAAAATCATACACGGAGACTGAAAAGGGAAAAATTGCAATACAAAATATAATTAATAGCTGCCAACGAGTAATAGCACAAGCAGACAAATATTATTAACTGTTTTGGTGCTCACACATTTTGCTGATAAATAGTCGAGCTTCTACACCAATTTGTGGTGCGCGAATAGATTTTATTACACAAATTAGGTGTTCTACAGTTTTACCTCACTTCCAAAGGGCAGATGTTTGTTTTAGAAGCCTTCAAATTATATAACACTCTGCTAAGGCGGCCGATCTCAAGAACCATTTCTATTGAATTAATGGTGATAAGAGGACAGAAGTAGGTTTTAGTCCAGCCAAACGTCTATCTACGCCTGATAAGCTGATTTGATGACCTCCGAATTTGAAGTAATAAACTTTATCGCTTTGAACTATTGTTGATTTCCCCAGTTTTTGGACCTTGCGATCAACAACTACATACAATGCTAGCATAATTGCACTTTATTGCCGTTGGTTGTAAATAAAATTGAAAAAATCGATAACAGTTCGAAAGGGGCGCCTTTAGTATAATGTAAATTTGCTCTTCGTATATCCGTGGGTTTAAAATGAAAACATTTACACTTACTCGTAAGATTTAAATAGTGATAAGAGGTTAGCCAAATATCAGCCTTTACGAGAAATAATGAAGCGATTTTAAAGAAAAATGCATTTCAATTTAAGGAAAAAATTCCAAATTTGGTGAAGTAATGGTTGATATATTCGAATTTGATTAGAATACATATTTGGGCGTAAACGAGTTTTCATACAAAAACAGTTCGTGAATATTTTGGAAACAATTGCATGCGCGCAGTAACAAAAGGTGACCAAAAACAGATGGTGCAGGTCAAGAAATATATTTGTAAGCCGATCGCAGCATTTGTATATACTTGACTTAAGGAAATTACATAATTTAAATATTATCACAATATGTGTTTCAGTAGAAAAAGTTTCAACAATGATTTAGCTTTAAAATATTTTTAGTAAGGTTGCCACCTGTTTTAAAATTCGAATTTAATTAAGTTATGCATAAATTATAAGAAATATTAAAATATGGGCGTCAAACGAAGGAGTGGTAAGATATTCTAAGTTAGAGACTTTAGCATATTAAAGAGGGTTGCCACCTGTTTAAAAACATAAACTCAAATTATTTAATAAGTCGAAGGAATCATTACAAAAAGGGTATTAAATGTTTTTAAAAAGGTTTTATTTCTGAACTTTGCTTAGAAGTTTTACCACGTATTTAAAAAATTTACCTTAATTTAAATCATCCGGAATAAGTATCCAACGTTCGTTTATTTCTTAATAATATTTAGGAGAGTTGCCACCCGTTTAAAAAGTCGAATTTAGCTAACTTCCACACAAGTCCGAAGACGAGCACGAACACGAACACGAATACGAAAACGCGGACCAAATCTACTAGTTCTAATACAAATTTCTGCACTATGTACCGCCAATACTGAGTATCCCACGCCATACTCCGTAACTTCTGAACTTTCATTGTACCTTTCATAGGACCAAGACACCCACTCCCCCGATTAAAAAATCCAGCAGCTTGACTGAACCTGCCATGGGGAATATGAAGGCATTATTGCATTTTTCGCTCCGAATCTTCAGTACAGACGCACGTGCTGTCCGTTTAGGCTAGATTGCTCAAGGAATTGCAGAATAAAAATATTATAGCAAATAGTTTTTAAGCAAAAAACAAAACTGACTTCAATTCTCACATATGTACATGGGATAACATTCATGACAAAAAAAAATACCGACGAATTGATAACCTCCTCATATTTTTGAAGTCGGTAGAAAAGCTTAAATTCTGTAGAATTAAAAAAGTTTAAATTTTTTTGGTGCATAAGGGCGAATAGGTACTGAAAAATAATTAATAATTATAATTTTATTCTTGAATAAAACTGCTACTAAAGCTTATTCTTACCTTTAATACTTGCCATAAATATTTTTTAACTATCTCAGCTATTTCGATGTCTCTCCAATAAATATTCCTGAATATATTGATTACCCTCAACTATGGCTAATCAAATCGGTCAATTATAAATTATCATTTTGAAACGTGGTTATACACTGCTCCTCAACTTGTATTTTGCAACCCGTTACACTGCTTTGGCGCCGCTTGTTATGAAAATATATTTTAACGATAATGATTGAGTATTAAAGTATCGACAAAACTTTTTCCATACTAATCGAATACTCAAATTGCTCAATAGTATCAAATACATACTATTCGACACTCGATACTATTCACATCACTAATTGTATTATAACTTTGATTTGATGTTTGTAAGTAGCAGTATAAGTCTGTTTATATGCAATCTAGTCTCTCAGTTTTCGAGATATCCGCCTGAAATTTGGTAAGTGAGTGTATTTTTTGAATGTATTAATCATTTGTCGGAACCGGAAAAATTCGGACCACTATAACATATAACATCCATACAACTGATTGTTCAGATATGAGATTTCTCGTTATAACTCCTCCATTTATGCAGATAGGAACATAAAATTTCGCATTATTTTCACCCATTATCTAAAGAATACTTATACTGAAAATGGCAAAGATCGGGTCGCTATAACCTATATCGTCCATGCAACTGATTGTTCAGATATGAGGTTTTGCTGTAAAACTGAGAAAATTTCGTGGGATTTTTGAAAATTCACGATTTTTTTAATTTTAATAATTTAAGATATGTACTCCAAAATGTTAAAATTAATCGGTGAAAATTTTCTTGCTGCAAAAAATAACAAATCTGGTGTAACAAAACTAATGTGAACCGAATGAAAAAAATTACATTGATTAAAAGATGACTTTGATTGAGAAACTAAAATTCCATATATACATTTAGTATTGGCACACCTGAAATTTATTCTAAAACTTTTATATATATGAAGAAAGTAGTATATATGTGCATGAGGAATACTGTGTAAAAATCTTCCACGCCAATATTTAATTACTTCAAAATAATATTACTTTTGACTTAAGTCGTGCGAGTAAACGTGTTAGCTGACAGTTAATGGTGTTACGGGGCGTATACGTTACATACACGTTTTTGTCGAAAAATGTAACAAATCGTGATAAATTTGTTCATATATGTATGAATGTATACTACCTTACCTAGATTATTCGATTTATATAAAGTTTCAGATACGTTAAGTTTAATCAAATTTATTTTTCTTATTTTCTTTGCAGCATTTTATTATTCAGCACCTATTTAAATATAACAAAAAAGTACTGTCATGAAAATGTAATCCAGCGCATTTAAGGCAACTAGATATATTTAGTTTAGCTAACGTCACAAAACATTAAAAGAATTTCCCAATACGCTTTTCGCCAATATTCCAAATCACAGCCTCTACTCCATATAAATGCTGCAGAAAACACAGCAACTGAAGTGTACAAGTGTTGCGCAGAAAAGTAGCAATAATATTGAATAATTCATACTCCATGCAAGAACCATAAAGTGCAAAATAAAATTTCCCAACAATGGCAGAAACCGCTTACTCTCAGCTGGCCAGATAACTAGAAAAGGAGCAGAGCCACTGGATCACTCCAACAAAAAAAAGGCAGCGGGCAAAGAGCAGAAGGCTTTCACAAAACGACAAAAAAAAACCAGTTATATTATTAAAGGAAATATTTTTTAAAACCCTGTAAAATTTTTTACAAAAACACAAAGTTTTATCCGAAAAATCTAACCAACTTGCCAAGTAGAGAAAATTTTCAGTTTTAAAATGGATGAAGAAAAATTAAATACACCGTTAGTATCGAAAGAAACAGCCGACAGTGCGGTCATAGTGCCACAAGCTGCTGGTGTAGTCTGCATAAGTGGTGGCAATGTCATAGCCACTGCTGCAGTTGCCTACCAAAAGCATTGCGCCACACCTACCACCGCCTGCACAGCAACTGACGTAACAAATACAACAACAGCGATGGTAGCTGCGGTTCCGGTAGTGGATACAACCAATGTCAATTTAAATGTAAATACTCAGTTAAGCATAGGAATGCCACAGCTAATACCGCCAACAACGTTACAACTGCAACAGAAAGAGCAACAACCACAACAACAGCAACAACTTACACTACTGCCCTATAGCAACCAGAGCAATTTGGTTGGTAACCACTTGAAAAATGGCGCGCTCAGTTACAAGTAAGTTTTAAACATAAATAGCGGTACATATTTCTACAACAATTTACAATTCCATTTAGAAGTTGCTAAGCGTTAAAAGAAACAAAATAAAAAATATTATTCATACGCAGTGGTGTACAGCTTTTTTTAGTGCGGAATGTAAAAGCTTAGAGCAAGAGTGCGGGGGGGAAGATATGCTTGGTGGCAATTTCAGCTTAGCAGCGCATTTTCGTGCGAATTTCCGGCTGTGTCTGTCCTTGCGGGGGCATTATGCGCTATTGTGGTTTTTAAGAACGATAAAATATTTACATAGTTTCTTATCTGCTTCTTTACGCTGAATTTATTTTTTGATGTGCATATGTATGTACCTACATATACAGCTAACAATAGTCGTTGATAGCCCATTGCAAATGTTTATATATTTACATTAAAAGGGTCAAATTAGTAATAACTAAGTTTTTACACAGTTTTATTAAAATTTAAAATTGTGTAGTGTTTGCTGAGAATCATCAAAAAATTTATTGTATTATGACAGCATGGCTACTTAAGACGCCCTGTTTATCCTGGTAAACTAAAACCGATTCGCAAAAACAAAAACAAAAAAACTTTCCAATCACTTTGATCTCATCATTTGTTATATCATATAACTTATATGTAATTTCACTTTAGAAAATTCTCCAGATACCCAACGAAAGTTTCAAACTGCAGAAATTTCTCACATACTAAACATGGACGTAGTTGTACTAACTGCATTAATGTGCAACCATGCATACACTACGCCAATCCTCCCAAACGTCGCCAAAGTTTTACACATTTTTCATATGCACATGTGTACATAAGCAAATATGTGCATAAGAATTGCTCATTTTATACACTCTTTGGCACAAGTAATCCCAGCTGTTTGTATGCAACCAGCGTTGCCGCCTCGGTAAAATCGGACCATGTATTTATAATGGCGCTTTTGAAAGCTCTCTATTGTCACAGTTGCTCTACAGTTGTCACAAAATAAGAGGTGTAGTATTGCTTTTGTGATTTCTACAGTAAAAATATCAATATTTTGCAAAAAAATTGTCCTTAGATTTTATTTGGTAGGCAACAATAGTTTCAGTAGTTTTTGCAAACAAGTTGATAGGAAAGATATCTTCAAAGTGGCAACACTGTCTGCAACATGTCCGCTCGCCGTAAAATTGACTATGTTGCTGTGTTGTGGAAATTGTTTGAAGGTTATTTAAAACAAATTGCTAAAGGAATAGTTTACAAATATGATTTGCGACACAGGCAAAGATTCATCGAATTCCCACAGAGCATATTGGAAGCAGGAAAGTGCTTAATATGTTTGTACGTGTGCATCTAGGAGCAGATTTCGTAAAGTGTTTGTGAGCGCGTGTTCATTTGGATTGGAATGGAGGTTTCATTAACTTCTTTCATAAAAATTTCCGCCAGGAAGCTATACGTCTTCGATATATGTATATATGTATGTATGTATGTGAAATGTAATTTTTTCATTAGATTATTTGTGTGAGGCTGGAAAGAAAGCAAGCTTTTCGATGATCCTAATAAGCCGCGAATATCATAAGTCTGGCGTGCTTCACTGTGCCTTAAACAAAAATGTATATTGTTACTCCCTCCCAAAACTTTCAGGGCTTCATTTCTAAAAAGTAAAATAGATTTGAAAAGCTTTATGAAGTGAGATTTTCAAACAAATTTTCGATTTATGAAGCAAACTTTATTTTGTATGAATGTGGGTGTCAGTTAATACATTTTCTAATGTATCTAATTCTGGAAATTTAATTTGTAATCTTATAACTCGATTCCACATATCGTGCATTTTCCTTCAAAGGTGTATTAACTGAATTAAATTTTACAAATATATATATATATATCTGCAATAAGTCGACAGTGTCTAAGAGGAATATTTAGAGCTCATAAATAACTTTTCAACGATACACACACTTTGAAATTATGTCGTAAAAAAAGTCAGGAAGAACCCTCTTACCGGAGTTTTTACAAAGTGTCGTTAGTTTGTGTTGGTAAACCATTTGCTCTTCCTATTTCGAATGAAATTCTTTTTGCAGATTTGTTTAATATAAAGAGTTTCCCAGTTCCTTTTTTGTTAAGCCTCGGCCATTAAGACCTTAATATTTCACAGTCGTCTCGATTGTTCCATAGGTAATTTGTTTTATCTCTTGAGTACTCGTATTCTCTGCATTTCCGAACAGTGCCTAGCCATCTTATCGGCTATTTTATTGTGTTCCATATTGCTATGCCCAGGAACCCAGCAGAGAGAAGCTTTTACGGCACTCAGTGATGCTAGAGATGTGCGGTAATTCCTTAGTTCACTTCTTTCGATCTTAGTAGTCTCAATACCGCTTGACTGTCAAAGAGGATAGTGTTCCAAAAAGATATTCACTATTCTACGAGACAGTCGATAGATTGCCCTGTCTGCAGATTCTCTGAATATAACACCGCGTTGAAGCCTTTTTCCATCGATGTAGATAAAATTACCAAAGTTCCCATCATTAGGCCAATGTTCCATTCATAGATGGTACGAAATTTTATAAGAATCCTAAAGCAGAATGACTTGTTGTATTCAGTTTCGAAATCCAAGCCGGCTTTATCTCATGCACGCGTTGCATTTTAAGCTGACCCAAGATCGCTGGGTTTCCATATGCGGTCTGTTTCCATCATTTTCATTTTCTTAATGTTAGGACTCCTTTTTCAGCTGTAGCGGCTTCAAATAAAGAATCATATACAGCCATTCTTCAGGTACACTGCTATAGCGCCTGATGTACTGCACTCTTCAGATTAAATTCTTATTGCTACTTTAGTCTAGTTATAAACTGTCGGATGACTATAGTGTACGCATCTACTATGAACTACGTTCGGTGTTGGTCAGAGTTTTTTCCGGTGGTCCTTTTGCAGATATAGTATGTTGCTAGACCCTTCTATGCTTTTATTCGACGTTGCGTGTCCACGTAAGTTTTGAGTCAAGGATAATTCTTAGGGATTTCGCCTCTTAGGAAAGGTTCACACTAGTCCCATCTAGCTTTGGTTAAGTGAAATCAGGAAACTTTTCCTTAGCTTGTGAACAAGGCAAGTTCGGATTTAAAACGGTTAAGTCAAAGCCCAATTAGAATCACTTTCCTGTGCCGGGTTAAGTATTGTACGTAAATATATATTGTACTTGTATAGTGTGCGAAGCTAACTATTACCTCACTACTGCAGTGAAAATGACTTAATTCCATCCACAATAGGGGGTTTGAACCTATCCCTTAAACCATTCTCCCAGCATACAACATGGTCATACAGACATTTGATTATTACGTGCTTCCAGCAAGCGAAAATAGATGAGAATGCAAACAACTCTAATCATTAATAACTGCACATTTTTCTTGCACTGAGCAAAAGGACCGCTTCGTGGCAAGCACGGCAGCCTCATTTTTTTTGTTTCTACTTAATTTGTTCATATCTAAGTGCTGTTCGAAAAAGGTGCAAATTAACAGCCATTTCATTTAAACTTTTGCACATCTGCCGTAGGTAGCGCCACAACATGACCCATAAAAATCGTGAAAATTAATTGATTCAACGATTCAAAGCAAAGAATCTGGGTCGATTACATCAAGCGCCGCCAAGTTGTTGCACTGCATTGTACGAATACACAAAAATACTTAGTTCACAGTTTTTGCACATCTGTGCACCGGCTATATTCGTTTATATTTGTATGCATGTATGTACACATGTGTGTATACTAGACCGGGTCGTTCACTATGCGATAGAAAAAAACTCTTTGCAATTATCCCACATAGTTCGTTAGCTTAATTTGTTGTCTGTCCAAGGACATGTAGTTTTTTTCATAACTCGTTTATTTAATTATTACTCGATTTGAAAGTTTGGTTCATGGCTGAAAAGATAATTTCGAGTCTTTCTCAGTTCATTCCGCCGTCGCTTGCCACGGCGTATGAGTTATCGATCAACATCAACATATACTTAGGTTAAAAGAAAAATTTCAGGTAATTGCAACTTTTCTGTTTATTAGTTTATGTTTATACTTCCAAAGACAAAACTACTTACTTAAATATATAATTTCATGGGGAGTAAAGTTATATTTAATTGGGTGATAATCGAGTTATTTGAATTTAGTAGGTTAAGGAGTTCTTCTAGGGTAAAATTATCTAAAAAGGACATGGAGCTATGAAAATTATCTTTTCAACCATATACATATCATACTTTGTAATAAAATAATAAGTAAAAGAGTTTTGAAGAAAACATGAATTTATCTGTTTTTGCGACTAGACAAAGACAAACAATTTTATGAGCCTAGCAGAGCCTTAAAAAAATGTTATTGAGGTTTCAAGCTCAATAAAATTGTTGTTGAATATATTTTTTAAATTCATTAAATTTTTAACCGACTTCCAAAAAGGAGAAGGTTATCAATTCATCGGAACATTTTATTTTTTATTCTTTTTTTTATATATGTTACCGCATAACTTTGGACCACGTTAACCGATTTCTACAATTATTTTTTTAAAAGAAAGGCCTTACCTCAGAGGTGGTTCCGTACTAATTTGTTTTAGATCTGATCATTGGATCTTGAAGAAGTTAACGATAATCTTAAATTTTTATATGGGAATTAAATAGGTTTTGTTTTTTGCTTAAAAATTACTTCTTAGAAACTTATTTTATGTATTTTTTTCTATTTTAAATAAATTTTTTTGCTTTCATAATTCATTTCCTTTTCACTAAATTTTATGGAACTTATTTGGTTTATTTTTATTATTTTTTAACCGACTTCCAAAAAAGGAGAAGGGTATCATATGTTACCGCATAACTTTGGACCACGTCCACCGATTTCGATAACTCTTTTTACATCGGAAAGGTAGTGTCTCGCAGGTGGTCCCATACTACTCTGGTTTAGATCCGATCATTGGATCATGAAATATATATATATATTTTTTTTTATATGAGAATTGAAGTCGGGTTTTTTTTTACTTAAAATTACTTGTTTATAAAATTGTTTTCTTTCTTTA